TTTATTAAGTCCGTATTTCAAACGTTTGTGGTCACATCCAGCAGAGTTTCCATACGTCAGAGATCTGAACGTGCTCAGCCTCCTGATGTTTGAACGTTTGTTTTTCGCCTGCAGGTTTCCGGGTTTCAAAGAAGTGCGACTCGTGCCGGGGAAACACGACATCGCCTTCGTGGAGTTTGAAAGCGACACTCAGGCGGGTGTGGCCAAGGACGCGCTGCAGGGCTTCCGGATCACGGCGACCTGCGCCATGAAGATCACCTACGCCAAGAAGTAGTCGCCTCGTCCAATCAGAGACGGGACACAGAGACTGAGGGGGGGCGGGGCTGGCGGTTTGGGGGATTTCTGTCGTCTGGCGGTGTGCGCAGCCTAATGGCGTCTGTTTGTTTTTGTTTTTTTAAGTATATTTTCTAAGAGGAACGCCACGGAGCTGCTTCTGATTTTGTAAAATAAAATCATTTTTCATAAACGTGCCTCACATTTTTACTCTGACCCCCTCAGGTCTCAGAGGTCACGGTGTCATCTGACGAGGGTTTAGAGAGCACTCTTCTCCTTAGTGACCAGCGGTTGGCATGGTTGCCAGTCGGCGTTTGAGCCTGTGTGGTTTTAGACGTGAGCGCTGAGACGACTCGAGCCTGTGTGTTTTCGCTGCGTTTCACCTCAGGCTGCTTTTACATTATTGATCAAAGCTACGTGTCGTCATGCCGACAGGTTGGCTCACGCCTGCGGCGCCGGCGGCTCGTCTCGGGTCTTCAGGATATGAAAACCTTGTTAAAGCAAAGCCTCGGGTTTTATTTCTGTCGTAGCCGAGTTGTAGTTGATCATCAACAACATCCAATTAAAATCCAAAAGTTTCACCAAACGTGAAGCTCCGCCTCTGTTAGTACAGTAACCTCACAGCAGCCGTATTATTGGTCAGATGATGTCATTCAAAAGGCTCCAACAGTACAAACACGCTCAGGTCAGGTGACGCTTCAGCCACCTGTGTCACCATCCGCCGGCTGGTTAAACGTGCAGATGCGTTATAACTGCACTGGTGTCAGAACGGAGGATTGGCTCAAACTACAGGGGTTTTTTTTCTACGCTTGGGTCTGTATGATGTCACAGAGCTCTTGTCCTTATATGGTCATCGGGCCTTGCCAGCTGCTGTTCAAAGCTTTACCTTAGGATAACCTGTTTCTGCGACGAAGCTGACGAGACCCGACCCCTTAAGATAGAACTGAGCAGAACAGGATTCTTCTGGGTTTTAAAGTAGAACTTCTTCCTCTTGTTTCTGTCAACGTTGTGATTTTTTTATTAAAAGTGATTTAAACATGTGCGGCGTTGTTGTAGATTCTTTTCCAGTCGTTTTCCTGCCTCCACCTGTCTGTCGTGTCGCTAAACAGAGAAGGGTTATTGATCGCCGTCAGCACATCAGTGCTTCCTGTGATGTCGGCTGTTAATTTCCTCAGAGATGCCTGCAGGGGTTTATGGGATTGTGGAGCTGTAAGTCAGCCGTGACGGGGTGGGATCGACTTTTGGTATATTTTTACTTGGTTGGTCTCACGGTGCAGGCCGTCTGAAGAACAGCGACACGTGGAGCGTTTGTATGAGGGCCTGTAGGAAGCACAGCCTGTATATAAAAGATGGAGGTGGCAACCTTGACCAAATAGTCACACACTGGCGTGTAAAAGTGAAACCTCGA